CTATGTGCTAATAACACCAATAGCTAATATTAAGAAGAAATTCTGGATTTCTGGCATGAAACCCTGGCCAAGTTTTGAATGAAGACAGTTCGATACCAACCCACTGGTGTAAATGATTTGTCGAGTATAAACACATCCTTGATTCGGTTTAGTTGGTAAAATATCATATTATTCTCTATCCTTTCATATTCAACACTCTTTGTGAACCTCGTATTGATTGTTGTTATTTGATGTTACGGAATAGAGTCGAGCGGAAATCTTAGGAGTTCTAGTAAGAAGCCACGACCGATGGCGCTCTACTGTGTCGGATGAGGTGAAATACCTTCCAGAGATAACGGAAGTTGAACACGTAATATTACGAGTTAATTAAAGTTGGACATATACATTATTGGATCCTGACTCAGTGATTTAAAGATTAGGCGTTCGTTGAAAGAAGCGAAGTTCATAGATTTGATATACGGTTGTGTAATGGTGGATGCACACTTTATTTAGGATCCCAGTACAAAGATGAAATAATGCTTTAAGGTTTTTAATGGTTGTTTAATTTAAGTCGATTTGTGATCTCGATAACATTCAGTGATTTCCAGAATCCTATACTAACATATCTAGGTTTTAAATGTAATATGATTAGGGCGGTTTGATTTACACATATTTTCCTACTATGCAGATATTGTATCAAACCTCCCTGTTTTATATTTATTTGAATCAGATAACTCTGAATCCTAATTGTGTGTAATTACTCAGTATTATAAAAGGTTTATAACTTCTCACTATGCCAAATACTAGCAATTTCAAACTGGAACATCGAACCTGTTGGTACATTCTCTTCTTTGTCTACCGTTTTAGACAAAAGAAAAAGAGATAAATCTATTGAAATACATTCAAAGACGTTCAGTTTCATCGTTTGCTCATATTTATTTTCTGATTGTTAGTTTTGCAAAAAAAAAGACAACACTTTATGAATTCTTTCTTACGAAGCGATTTTCAAAGTTAACCATCCTGTTCATTTCGTTATTTCATCTTTTATCTTGTGTTCATGAAGGACTGGTTTTAGTGATATCTTCCTTATCTACAGCACAATTATCAAGTTTATGTCCATGTACTTTAATGATGCATTCTCATTGTATGAAGATGCTATATATTTCTATTTCAATAGATGCTTTAATTGCTTAGAAGAAAGGAGTGGGTTTAAGAAAAAAAGAACTCGTGTCAAAACTGAATAAAAACAAATAGTTACATTTAACTAGATACAATATGAATTTCATTTATTAATATTTGATTGTTATTAACAGATGGCTAACAGACAAATCAAAGAATGGCAAAGCAGAAGGACCAGATAACATTTCAGTAGAGGCACTGAAGGCGAACGTTGCAGTAACTGCAAAGATACTCCACATTCTCTTCAACAAGATATGGGATGAAGAACAAGTGCCAACAAACTGGAAAGAAGGGCATATGATCAAGATACCAACGAAAGGCCATCTCAGCAAGTGTGATAACTACAGGGACATCACTCTTCTCTCAATACCGGGAAAAGCCTTCAACAGGGTATTGTTAAACAGATGAAGGACTGCGTAGACGCACAACTTCGTGACCAACAGGCAGGATTCCATAAGGTGAGATCGTGTACAGACCAAATCGCAACTCTACGGATCATTGTGGAATAATCAATTGAATGCAATTCATCACTCTACATCAACTTCATTGACTACGAAAAAGCATTTGACAGCGTGGACAGGACAACACTATGGAAGCTTCTTCGACACTACATTGTGCCTCAGAAGATAGTCAATATCATACGGAATTCCTATGATGGGTTAAACTGCAAAATCGTGCATGGAGGACAATTGACAGACTCGTTCGAGTAAAGATCGGTGTTAGGCAAGGTTGCTTACTCTCACCCTTTCTCTTTCTCCTGGTGATCGACTGAATCATGAAGACGTCAACATCTGCAGGGAAGCGCGGGATACAGTGGACATCTAGGATGCAGTTGTATGATCTAGACTTCGCAGATGATCTGGCCCTCCTATCGCAATCACAACAACAAATGCAGAGAAAATGACCAGTGTAGCAGCAGCCTCAGCAGCAGTAGGTCTCAATATACACAAAGGGAAAAGCAGGATTCTCCGATACAACATAGCATACACTAATCCAGTCAAAATTGACGGAGAAGATTTGGAAGATGTAAAAACCTTTACATATTTGGGCAGCATGATTGATGAACAGGGTGGATCTGATGCAGATGTGAAGGCGCGGATCGGCAAATCAAGAGCAGTATATTTACAACTGAAGAACATGTGGAACTCAAAGCAACTGTCAACCAACACCAAGGTCAGGATTTTCAATACAAATGTCAAGACAGTTCTACTGTATGGGGCAGAAACTTGGAGAACTACGAAAGCCATCATCCAGAAATACAGGTGTTTATCAACAGTCGTATACGAAAAATACTTCGGATCCGTTGGCCAGACACTATCAGCAACAAACTACTATGAGAGAGGAAATACCAGATCCCAGCAGAGGAAGAGATTGGGAGGAAGCGCTGGGAGGGGATAGGATGTACATACATACAAGGTAAGCCCTCGCATGGAATGCTGAAGGCCAAAGGAGAAGAGGGAGTCGAAAGATCACATTATGCCTAGAAATAGAAACGGACATGAGAAGAATAAAGAACAATTGGATAGAACTAGAAAGGAAGGCCCAGGACAGATTGGGCTGGAGAATGCTGGTCGGCGGCCTATGCTCTATTGGGAGCTACAGCCGTAAGTAAGTAAGTAAGCAACATGTGAAGATATTTTTATTTATTTGTTATTACTTGTATAAATTTGCGAAATATGGTGAAAGTATAGAATGCTGACAATATTCAGGAATAATTAAAATGACTACGAGAAAGAAAAGTTAATTTTTTAGTCAATTCTAATACAGGTAATACAAATGAATAATTTACATCGCCAAATCTAAAAACATTCAGATTTATGGTTAGCAATTTTAATTAGGATTAATGGTTAGGATAAGTGGCACTGGTCAGAAGTTAGAACTACTGGTTATGAATAGAATAAGATTGTTTTGTAGCTATGTAATGAATACTTATCCACTTAGTGCTTTGATTGTAAATATCAACAACTTTAAGTTACTTTAGAAAGATAGCAAAATATGGTCCCTATGTTTTAGTCTTCTCGTATTATTAATTTTAGGCGTCCTAGTAATTAATTATGCGTATGTCCAATATAGCTTCTTAATAAGATACAATCTATCTGTCATATCGTCTTGAATTTCACCCAAATATCCAATAGTCGCAATCTAAATATGATTAGTTTTTTCGTAAGGTATGTATTTTTTTTAAAAAGATGCTTACAATCTATGCAATCGTTTAGGTTAATACCAGCATCTAATAATCAATACTTAAATCATGGAACTAATAGCTGAAAAATAAACAGCGTAGCAGATGTTCCTGCGTCAGTAGACCTCAAGTTACACAGGGGGAAAAGCACGATCCTCGAATGAAATACAGAGAACGACAACTCAATCACACTTAATGATGAAACTCTGGAAGAGGTGGAAACACCCACATATTTGGGTAGCTTCATCGATGAAAATGGTGGATCTGATACAAACATAAAGGCGAGGATTGACAAAGCAAGGATAGCATTCCTACAATTGAACAATATATGAAACTCAAAACAACTGTCTCCAAGCAAACATCAAAGTCACAATCTTCATTACGAACGTCAAGATAGTCGTACTGTATGGAGATGGAACTTCAACAACTACCACAACCATCATCAAAATACTACAAGTATTTATAAACAATTGTCTACACATGATACTCAATATCCGTTAACCGGATTCCATCATCAACAACAACAACAACCTACTTTGATAGAGAACAAACCAGCTGTCGTCTGAGAAGGATATTAGGAGACGACATTGTAAGTGGATAGGATATACATTGAAGAAATGATGAAACTACATCACGAAGCAAGTGTTAAATTGTAATTGTTAAGTTGAACGTAAAAGTGGCAGGCGGAAGAAGACACTGAATGGAGAATTTGATGCAGATATTCGACGGATGAATAGCAAGTGTAAATAACTTGAAATGATTGTGGAGAACAGATTTGTATGTAGAATGCTGATAGTTGGCTTCTTCTCCTTCTCCATACGTAGCAACAGACACTAGAATACCTGTAATGAATAATTTCATTCAATGTTCAACATTACTTTTCTTATATTGTTTCTAATATTTCATTCAATATTTTATGATGTGAATAAATTTCCAACAAATAAACAAACAAACAAACTCACGCACACACACACAATGCTTATCTTTCATTCTACCTAGTGAGTATGAAAAACAAACTATAAACCATATAAAACCAAAGATTTCAAATGGCAACCATGTTTTTGGTAAATTAATTTTGGCTTCTTCACAAATCAAATCCTTTACGTTATTTTGTTAATTATTATGATTATTATTATATTAGGATAACTTTAAACAATCTAATAATTTTCCCCTAATAACTAACTAACTAACTGTATGTTTACATTTATTTTCATTATATATAATTTGACCAGATCAATCGATAATAAGCAATTCAGTCAATAAGACTCAAATATATCCAGTAAAATGGGAAAATTTCAAGGTCATTCATATGATTGGATAATATGTTTAGTCTATCAATACTAATCATTTAACCTATCAATTTTTTTGAAATAAGGAAGCATGCAACCTATGTCGTAGTAGTATAATAATAATTATTAGTAGTAGTAGTGGTAGTAGACTAGATCTTGAATGTGCTTTTTGTTTTCACACATGAAAATAACAAAATATTCTTCTTATTTTATATTCATTACCAGTTGGTTGTTCTAGATAATGCTCAAATATATTGATTATTTTTTAATAATTCCTATGTAATTGTACAAAGTAAACATGATCAACTATATGGATGATTATCATTATTTTAATGGTTATTTTTATAGCGATATAAAAAAAATGAATTAAAATGGGAAATGAAACTAGTCAAACCTCTGGACAAGAAGAGGATATTCAAAGAAATGATGTTAGTCATAAACGTAGTCAATCATTACAACGTGATTTAACTTTATCTAATACAGGAATTACTTTATTACCGAATTCATGTAAAAGTCAATCACAAATTTCTTTACATGAAATCGTTGGAACAAATGATTCTAGTCAAGATAAAACAAATTCAAAGTTAACTACAGATACATCAACTACTGAAATAGCTTTACTTAAAACTGTACAAATGGAATTAACTGATGATGAAAAGGAATGTATACAACAAGTATTAGCTAGAGCACGTCTTGTAGAAATGAATGAAGATAAACGTGTTACGTAAGTTAATAAACATCTTTTGTAATCAAACGTTTGGTTACTAGTTTTGTAAAAATAAATATTAAGTATTTCCTATTGTATGTAAATGATACATAGATTAATCGTTACATGATAAGTTATTGAAAATATCATATTTCATAATTAAGTAGTAGACGTTTTGATCATTACATTAAAAACCAAAGTTTTCTACATTTTAATGAGGATAATGTATGATTAATTTGATTCATTCATAATAGTCAATTGACTAAGCAAGATAATGTGGTTTGTGATACTTAGGTCGACAGATATATAAGTAGTTTGTAACACCAATTGAAAGTGAACGGCCTGACAACAAAAGGTTGACAAGATCGTTTAGAAAAGAACGGGAGTAGATAGTGATTGGTATGGAAATAAAGGAATAACAATTGATGGACATTTTGCAAATAACTCTATAATTTTGTATCCAAGTACATTTGGTTGTCCCTACCTGTGTTCTCACTCAGTACGATACAAATTTTACAACTCCCATCTATTTGCTTGCATTTTTTATTCTTTCCGAATTCTATTAATTACTTGCTTATTCCTACAAATGATAAATCCCTGTTAATTAGTCATACTATAAGCAGTGGAAAGAACTGTCAGTCAGTCAGTAACAACTTAGAACGTTGTAGATCAGTTCGAGTTGCCATACCACATTAGCACAAATATACAATTGTCGATTCAAACCCCATAGTGATAGAGATAGTGAAAGTATAAGCAGTAATCGGAAAAATTAAAGTTTGAAGACGTTATTCAAGGAGCATAATCGAGTGAAGTAAATTTGGCGAGAGAAAAAAGGATTGTAGTTTGATTACATTCAATAGTAAATAGTTTTTAAATATTTTCATCTCAGTGCTATTAAAAAAGAAGATAACCTGTAACATGGTTCTGGCCTGTTTATGGTCAAATAACATTATTTAAGTATTAACAGTTGAAATCTCAAAATAGTAAATAGGATTAGATAGAATTGTCATTGATGGAAGTGAAAAAACATTCATTTTTTGAGAAGACAATAATTCACTTCATAGAACTTCTTTAGTTAAGCCTTAGACCTTTAGAAACCAAAGAATATGAGAGAGCTGTTTGTCCTAGTTTAAAACACTTGAGTTTTGGACAGTTAAAATCGTACCGGGAATCGAACGTAGGATCATCACATCCCGAAATTAACTGCATTACCTGTAGACTATGAAGTTGACATCAGTGTGTCCTTATTATAAATTTGTCTAGCCTAAGTAATTCAATGATGTAAACTACCTTTAAGAAGTGAACTGTCTTTATTAATGTCTGTCTTGAAATTCAAATATTTTTTAAAATACTACTTATACATACATCCTGGTTTACATATAATTAGCTTTGATCAATGAAATAAGTAAATTAGTGGTTCACAATGGTTCAGTTAATTTTTTAAATATTCTATTGAGTAACCTTTTATTGCCTGGTTCTGACATGAAAACCTGAGATCTTTTTATCACTTGATAATATTAAAGAATACTGATAATATTAATTAGAATTAATCAATACACGTACAAAGTAAATCATATATATTGATTCACTTATTGTTACTAAAAGTATACTAATCAAAACCGTGCTTTGTTAGAAATCTCTTCTCAATCATCAAATGATATAAGAATTGAACTTTCATAATTTAAATCATAGACTGAGGTTTGTTAGACCACTGCCGAAAACTAGCAATTACTTGGCAGCTGTTTCGTTATATTATGAGACCCTTCGACATTCAGGATATTATTTGAGTTTGAACCTAGGTGGGTGAATACTCAACGTCTGGATAAATGATGTACCAGGACCAAAAATACTGTTCAGTTCATTCTAGTTTTCATTTGTGTTTTAACTAAGATCATCATATTTCTTGACATCATTATTTATGGTTGACCAAAAGACAAAAGAAAGTAATAAGAAGTTCTATTTTGGAGCATCTAATCGATACCAGTTACCACATAAATAAAACTTCAGTGTTTAACCCCTCTAAATTTACTCTTTGGTTCTAAGAATCTGACTCTGACATATAACAGAAGCCATTTTAATATACATAAAAAACTTAACATTGTATAGAGAAAATATTTATACAATCTTTGAATTTACCCTGATCTCCTGTTTACTTCCTTGCTTACTTACGCCTGTTACCCCTTGTGACGAACTACAAACCTCCTTCTGTTTAGATACAATTAGATGTTTGAAGACCTTTCTTTCCCTTTTCTTAAAAAAGATACAGACTTCGGTTCCATTACCATTTAAATTTCTAATTCTAGTCTTACGTAACCTGTTTTTTCATCATATATAAATTTCACCACACCCGTCCCAGTAATTACTTATTATCAATTTTGACAAATAACAAGAAACATTTATATTTACAGTTGGATTCACATTCAACTTTAATTATGTAACTATTTGTAATAATTAACGGGATTATGAAAATTCACTTTATTCCTAATTTAAAGTTAATTTTACAAACGTTTTAAACTAACTGATGATTATTTTCTTAAACCAACTTACTATCATCTAATTTGTACGGATTTTCTACTCACATATAAAACATATAATCTAGTTTTTTAATAATTGGGTTCATGAGTCAATGTAAGCTAGACTACCATGGAAAACCTGAAAGCACTGGACGATCATTTCGTCCCAGTGTGGGACTCATCAGTGGTAGGCAGCCACGATCTCAACCGTGTCTGTTGTAGAGGCAGTTACTCAATAAAGATACAGTATCGTGGAATGGTTGAAGTTAGACATTAACACCATTGGGTGCCGAATCAGTGGTCTAGAGGTTAAGCGTTTGCCCACGGGATCGAAGGTTCTGGGTTCGAGTCCCATATTAGGAAGAAACGGCTGTCCAATGTTTCCAGGTTTCAAATGGTGGTCTAGCTATAATGGACTCATGAGTTCAACTATTAAAAATTACTGTAATATCCAGAAAACCTCATTCTCATATATTAGTGTCGAGCCTTGATGAAAAAATTAATTGACAGAAATCCTCCTTCGCTCAACTTTTCATTTTATTATCAGTTTAGGGGTTGTGGCGATTGTTAAGTTTTTATTTTGGTTGAGACCATGAACCGATTGATGTTAGACCACCATTGAAAACCTGGGAGCACTGGACAGCCGTTTCGTCCCATTGTGGGACTCCTCAGCAGTGCGCATCCACGATCCCGCTCACGAGGATTCAAACCCAGGGCCTTCAGTCTCGCGCGCAAACCCTAACCTACTGGACCACTGAGACGACAGTCAATGGCGTTAATGTCCAATTTCAACCAATCCATGAAATTATGCGACTATCTCCCATTGTACTGAGGTAGACACTTGTTTCTACCCGACACGGATTAACTCCACTGGTCACGGCCTCTCAACAGAACTCCGAGAATTTTCTCATGAACCTAGTTACTAGTGAGCACATGGTAATTATCAGTATAGTGGTTATGGAGATTTTTAAGTTGTTTTTTTTATTGAGATCATGAACCGGTTATCTTAGATCAATCCATGTTGCAAACTATGCGTATGAAATAATACTTTGAAAATAAAATAATCAATTTATTTATTTTGGTCTTTGATATACTACTTTGATCATTTATTATAATTTTAGAAATAATTCAACATTTTCAGTAATTCCGACATAACCCATCTCATTTAGTTGCTATTCATTTTGTTATCAATCATAAATGATGTATGTTGTAAATAGAGAGCTGATGATAATTATAAGACAAAAAAAAAGGGAATTAGTATTTCTTTTCATAAGATCCTTTTCTTCTTACATGTTTCAATAGGAATTCTATACTTCATTCACTTTTTTTTTAGATCGTGATTTGTGTTTGTTTCAATTTCTCAGATAATCTTTTGTATGAATTAGAGGCTTTGTAAAGGTGTATTTAATTTATAGAAAGGAATTTTTCATAAACTGATATCAGTCAAAATACTATTAAATGTAATGTTATTGTATCGAAATCTGAAGGTTTAAGGTTCATTTCTTGATAGGGTTTTTAGCATGTACATATGAAGAATCTCGAACTGGAACGAAACAATTATTTAATTAATGGAAATGAGAATAGTTCAAATATTCTTTCATACATCAAGTTTCACATCTAATTCTTAATTATTTTTAAATAATCATATTGACGGTTCTAGTTTCTTTTAGTTTAAATATAACATTTTGAAATATAAAACAAAAGCAGTTTTCCCAGAATGATTAATTTTAGCTCAATTAATTTTCAGTGGAATACTATAGAATCCATACCTTTAATCAAATTTTACTACTGGTATTTATGATATATTTACTAATCTGAGCAATATTCTAGTTAGATAAATGTATGATTGGATTTCATGTTGTGTACTACTTAATAATATAGGAACTAGGTGTTATGATTTGACAATGTTGTATAGTTCACTTGATGTTCGATATTTAAAGGTAGGATTTGAATCAACAACTGCGGCCTGCTTGAGCATCTGGGCTAACTGTTCCTGCCATCTAGATATTTCAACAAGTTATCGATTTTTTTGTTCTAATATATCATTATGTTTATTAATCGCATAACCTATTCTGCTGCGTTTCTGGAAAGTGTACAACCTTTCGTTGCCAAAGTTACAAAAAAAAACTCAATAAGAGTGTTATGACCTTGATGTCTGGCTTTCTATCACGCAACTTTTCGACCAGTCAGAATACGACTTATACAATTTCGCACTATGCCAAACCAATGACGTTCAACCGGTATGAGCAGTTTAGCGTCCTGATCGGTCCTATGTCCTCCTAGTCCTTCCACTTGAGTCCAGAACACAATACCAGCTTCCGTAATATGAATCAAATCAGATCATTTATTTCAGACATACTCGGTTTATATACTAATCAAACAAACCACATCGTACCATAAAATAGAAAACGACATTTGTACAATATTTGACAAGTGGAATAAATATTGGCCAATAGGAAATGTCCATTTAAAGTCCAAGGACACCATTAGACTTAACATGATAAT